CGAATACCACCTTTGGTTTTCCCTGAATCAGCCTTCATAACAATTCCAAAGCAGTTCCAAAAAAGCTCGAAATCAGAGGACCCACAATTGTTCAGCATCATCACTGGGTACCCCATCTCCCTGCATAACTGTTGCTTCTGAGAGTCATCACTTAAAATGTCTTTCACTCATTTCTCCCTGCCCTACTGTGTCTGTGTGACCTTTCCTCTAGCTCCCCTCACCCTGCTTTATCTTGAGCAAGCATCCACCTGATCTTCCTACGACAGTCTGTTCATCAGTATGGGGAGCAAACACTGGGTTTCTTCCTTATCCTGACCTGCTGCCACTTTCCTCCTCCGCAGCCTGCTTTTTCATCTCTGTCCCACCCTGCCTTGCTGTCCTTAAGCACAGACACTGACCTCCAGGCAGCAGGTTGAAAATATTTTCTGACAAAAACAGCCCACTGAATTTTATGTATTTTCTCTCCTTCTTTTATTTTCATATTTGGATTTTCCCTAGCCTGCTGGTCAATAACAATTCTTTGTTTTTCTCTTCTCTTCCCATAAGTAAATTCCAGCCAGGATCAAGACTATTGCCTGAATAGGCCAGGACATTTCAACTTTGAAGGGGTGGGGTTGGGGGGATAGTAAACAGAGGACAGACCTACCGATCAGGAACTCCCAGCTAACAACACACCAGATCAGAGGATGGGAATGGAGGGAACTTGCTGCCCAGGGACAGGGCAATTTCAGGCTTTTCTTCCCTTGGTATTTCTGCAGATTCCAGCTAGGAACCAATGCCTACTGGTGAGCTTTCCACTTCCTGCCTGGGAGTTTTCTTTCTTTTTGTAAATTCATGTATCCTATTCTCAAATTGTTGCTTCATAATACCCATTTCTTGTTTCATAGACACAATATCTTCTCCCATTTCTTTGAGGATATTAGAATTTAAAAAAAATCTGCTCTCTATAATATCTGGATTCCCTCCACATTCTATTTTTTCCCCCTTTTCTGTATGTTATGTCCTCAGTCCTTCAAGCTGCAGGTTTTCCTCAAATATCTGGTGATCCATAGTTGAATGATCAAATCCAAGATACTATACATAGGTCACATTAAAAGATGTACGAGTGGTAGGCTTTGCTTTAAGGGGATCAAGTGGTAAGCTGGCCTTTTAATTTGGGGGTCCTAAAAGGTCAGGAGCTGTAGAACTTCTTTGGGAATCTAAGTTTTTTTCAAAGAAGGAGACTCTCGTCTTCTGTATGTGTGCCACAATCCTGATTACCCTTGTTTTTTTTGTTGTTTTTTTTTTTTTAAGATTTTATTTATTTATTTGACAGAGAGAGAGACACAGCGAGAGAGGGAACACAAGCAGGGGGAGTGGGAGAGGGAGAAGCAGGCTCTCCACTGAGCAGGGAGACCGATGTGGGGCTCGATCCCAGGACCCTGGGATCATGACCTGAGCCGAAGGCAGCCGCTCAACGACTGAGCCACCCAGGCACCCTGGCTACCCTTGTTTTGAAAGCCAGAAGGAAAGGGGCTGAGGGACTCTCCACTTAGTAGGAAAAATTTTTACTTAACCTCCCTGTTTTCAATAGAGCATCTCCCACCCATCCCTGCCTAAGATTTAAGATGTGCTGATATCCCAGAATGAGGATGCTCTTATGTTCAAATTTCCAGAGAGTAAACACCTAGTTTCTGAACAAGGGGGTGTGGGAAGGAGGTAGCTCCCTGCTGGGTCGGGGAGGGGGAAAGAGATGGGTTTTTTAATTTCTCTTTACCTTTATTCCAATTCTTGTGAACATCTGGGCATCCTTATAACACATTTAGGGAAAATTGCAGTTCCAGTTGCTATATTTAATAGACATCCCAGCCTCTCGCGGCTCTTTGATAATGCTATTCCCTTCGCTGTCCTGGATGAGACACAGTGTGCTTTGTGCATGGCAGGCAAGACTCTGGTCCAGTTGTCCTCCTTGCTATTTTGGAATGGACTCTGCCATCACTTTGTTTTGTGGTACATATTCCAAGCTTTGGGATTCAGGGTGGAATAGGGGCAAACATTATGTAATGTTGTAAATTCACAGTAAAAACTAAATCGTAAATCCTCGGATTTTTAATCTCGAAGGCTAAGGGTTGGCTGCCAGAGAGAGTAAGTGTTTTCACTAAAAGCAAAAGAACAATCCTTTTGCAAACACAAGACTGGATTCTCTACCTCCTCTGTGAACCGTAAAATTGCTCAAGGTGAAAAGGACTTCAAGAGGGGTCCGATCCAACCCCTCACACCATGCTTCGAGCCCCCACTCCCTGTCACTCCCCACTCCCCAGAAAGGAGGGTTGTAACCAGGCTTGGACACCCCTGGTGATGGGCATTTACTCCTCCTTTAGGCCACCTCTGCGCCCTTCACAGCCTGAACTGTTCTTATTTCTATCATCTGTGGCTTATTGAACCCCAGTTACGGGTCCAGTTCTCTGTTAAGAGCTTTACAAACATCTCATTTAATCCTCACCATGGCCCTGGAACTATTATTATTCCCATTTTGCAATTCAGAAAACTCAGCAAGATTAACTGCTTGCCCAAGATCCCACACCTGGTGAGTGGCAGGACCAGCAGATGAATAGCAGACTATCTGACTACTCCTCATTTTTTCTATTTATTCTGCCTTTTGTCCAGCCCATAATACCATTCTCTGTAGCTTTCATCTACTGGGGCTATTTCTGTCTCTTGGGAGCACAGAGGGAAAATCCAAACCTCTTTCCACATGAGCACTCTTCAGCTATTTCAAGATATTTATCTGATGTCCTTTCCATTCCAAGCTAAAGCCTTTTAAAAAGAAAGAAAGAAGGAAGGAAGGAAGGAAGGAAGGAAGGAAGGAAGGAAGGAAGGAAGGAAGGAAGGAAGGAAGGAAGGAAGGAAGGAAGGAAGGAGGGAGGGAAGGAAGGAAGAGAGAGAGAAGAAGATCCCTATCTGTTTTAAAGGTATTAAGTGTACTTCACCCTTCAGTTTCCAAGTTCTTTTCCTGCTTACGGCACTGTGGGACCACTGGCTTAGCCTCATAAAAGGACAAACATGGAATCTCTTCAGTGTGTGGGTGGAAGCTGCGGCCCAGAGAATGGCTATGACTCTGCCCCAAACCCACCTTTGTGAAGGATCCAGGGGGCCTATGTGAGCTGCGAGCATCTAGTACATCCACCCCTGAAGTTACACCACTCTTTTTTTTTTTTTTTAGATTTTATTTATTTATTTGACAGAGACATAGCGAGAGAGAGAGGGAACACAAGCAGGGGGAGTGGGAGAGGGAGAAGCAGTCTTCCCCGCGGAGCAGGGAGCCCGATGTGGGGCTCGATCCCAGGGTCCTGGGATCACGACCTGAGCCGAAGGCAGACTCTTAACGACTGAGCCACCCAGGCGCCCCAAGTTACACCACTCTTAATGGAGTTCCTTCAGGAGGAGACCCAGCCGAGTCCTGGGGCAGGATTAATCACTTAATAGAAGAGCTCTTAAACAGACTGTTGTGTGTCCTTACAGCAGCTCCAAGGGATAGGATTCACACTGGGCAAATGCCCTTATAAATCCCACCAGTAGCCAGGCTCCTTGGTTACGAGTAGGTTTGTTTTACAGTGTCATTGCCCAAATTTTCCTAATCATAATCCCCTGGGGAGTTTATTTAAACCACAGAGTCCTGGACCCCACCCCAGACCTTCTAAGTAAAAATCTATTGGGGGGGGCAGGAACCTGCAGTTTTAATAATCCTCTCCGAGGGATTCTCATCATCACCCAAATTTGGAAAACACTGTCTTGAGTTCATTGCCTGTAACTTTGTTCCTTTAAAAATGGGAGTAGAAACAGAGGTCAAAGAAGATTGTGATGGTTAATTTTATGTGTCAACTTGGCTGGGCCACCGTGCTCAGATATGTGGTCCAACATTGTTCTGGATATTTCTGTGGGGGTGTTTTGGGATGAGATTAATATTTAAATCAGTGGACTTTGAGGAAAGCAGATTGCTCTCCTTCATATGGGTGAGCCTCATCCAATCAGTTGAAGGCCTACCTAGACCAACAAGGCTGACCTCCCCCAAGCAAGAGTAAAGTCTTCAGCAGACGGTTTCGGATTTGAACTGCGGCCCTGGCTTTTCCGTGAGGGGCATGCATAGAATGCTTGAGAAAAGGAGAAATGAAGAGAGTTGTAGTATTCTTCTGAAGGGATGCAGGGGTTTTTACGCTAACCGCCGCTTTATGAGGGAACAGAAGTGCCGTGCTGACCTTGCTATAACCCTGCTGTGACAACAGCCCATAATCAAATAATTTTGGAAAGCAGCAGGGGCAGAGCTGGGCCTATTTTTAATGCTAGATTTGTGTTTAAGGAAGACTAACTGAGGTGTAATTTACACACAATAAAACCACCCTTTTACAGTAGAATGCTGGATGAGTTTTGGCAAATGTATAAACTCCCATAACCGCTGTACCCAGCAAGATGCAGGATATTCCCATTACCTCAAAAGTTCCCTGAATCCCTTCTTAGTCAATTCCCTCTGCCTTTCCCAGCCCCACCCACACCCCCAACCACTGATCTCTTTTCCGTCAGTATAGTTTTGAGCTTTCTAAAATTCCACGTTAAAGGAATCCCGTGGAGTGTAGCTTCTTGTGTCTGGCTTCTTTTACTCAGCATAATGCTTTTGAGGTCGGTCCATCCAATGCCGCTGCACCTATCAGTAGCTTCCCTTTCTCTCGCTGAGTAGTAGTATTCCATCGTGTGGCCAGACCACAAGCTCTCCATGTCCCAGTTGATAGGCATTTGGGTTGTTTCCAGTTGGGGCGTATTACGAATCCTGCTCTATGAAGATTCCCATTCAGACCTTAGCACAGACATGTATTTTCATTTTGCTTGGATAAATATCTAGGACTGGGATTGCTATATGCTAAGTGTAGGTTTACTTTTATTGACCAACGATCTTTCAAAGTGGCTGTACATTTTGCATTTGCATCAGCAGTGGGGTACTGGATTTTTTTTGACAAAGACAATTCATCTTTTTTTTTTTTTTTAAGATTTTTTTATTTATTTGAGAGAGAGAATGAGAGAGAAAGAGCACATGAGAGGAGAGAGGGTCAGAGGGAAAGACAATTCATCTTTGAACTGAATTGAATTGGCCTTAATTTTGTGTCATCTGTAGGGACAGAGAATTAGTTTTATATAAAGCCCTGCTTAAGAGCGCTGGAGGGACCAATTTGAAAATATTGCTTTTCTGTAAATCAGGAAAAGTCACTAGGTCTCTCTAAGCCTATCTCTCCCATTTGTAAAATGGTGCCAATAATCGTGCCTCTCTGCTTAGGAATGTTGTAAGGGTTAACTGAGATAAAACGTATAAATGCTTAATACAGAACCTGGTACATAATAAATGATTAATATACATTACAGTTTGCTCTTTTTTTGTTAAAGATTTTATTTATTTATTTGAGGGAGAGAGAGCATGAGAGGGGGGAAGGTCAGAGGGAGAAGCAGACTCCCTGCTGAGCAGGGAGCCTGATGTGGGACTCGATCCCGGGACTCCAGGATCATGACCTGAGCCGAAGGCAGACACTCAACCAACTGAGCCACCCAGGCGCCCTAGAGTTTGCTCTTGAACAACATAGAGGTAGGTCTGCAGAACCTCCCCACCCGTGTAGTCAAAAATCCACATATAACTTGACTCCCCCAAACTTAACTACCCTGCTCTTGATGGGAACTTAACTACTTAACTACCCTGCTCTTGATGGGAAGCCTTACTGATAACATAAACAGTTGATTAACACATATTTTGTATGTTATATGTATTATATGCTATATTCTTATAAGAAAGTAAGCTGGAGAAAAGAATGTTATTAAGAAAATCGGAAGGAAGAGAAAATACATTTACAGCACTGTATGTATATTATTGAAAAAAATCTACATATAAGTGGACCTGCACAGTTGAAACCCATGTTGTTCAAGGGACAACTGTACTGTTATTATTCCAAGTACCTTCTTTGGAAAAGTATGTTGCAGTAGGGTTTAACCATATGAAAATATACATACCACAGCCTTTACTTCTTTGGGGCTTCTTTGGGGCAATAATTTAGAACTCAAGAGAGCCACAGGAAATTGGAGAGGATATTTCGTCACTGAAAAAAGGTATCTGTAGTTATTTGAAAAGATCAACCAGAAGTCTTTTTACATCCTTTCTAAACTTTCTGCCCTCAGTTTCCTAATCTGTAAAACAGGGGTGTTAATTCTTGCTCTGCCTCTCCCACAGGTTTGATGTGAAGCTCAGGAAGAACGGAGCGTTATAAACTGCAAAGTGTTGTATACACATTTGCCACCAGTGAAAGTTTTAGAGGAGAACTTTTATAAGAGATGATTTAGTTAGAAACTATCAGATAATGGTATCCTTTACAAAACTTCCTTTTCTTATGTTACATAGGAAAAAATAAACCGATAGTTGGCGGAAATTGCAACACAATGCTATGAAAATAAAAGATGTAAGAAAGTGATACGGAGGGGCACCTGGCTGGCTCTGTCGGTGGAGCGCGTGACTCTTGGTCCTGGGGCTGTGAGTTTGAGCCCCACATGGGGTGTAGAGATTACTTAAAAATAAAATCTTAAAAAAAAAAAAAAAGAAGGAAGAAATTGATACCGAGAAGACTGAACTACTTGCCTAGGTCCCACACCAGCACTAACGTACCTCCATTGTAGAAACGAGCACACTCCTGGCACCTTGCACACCCACAGCAGGTTAAAGCGCTGAATCCATGCAGCATCTCAGTAGCTACAGGGAAGGGTCTGTCCGCGTATACACACAAACACTGGCTTTCATTTGCTTAGTTCACTGACACTTGAGTTTGAACATTGTTGCTTGGAATCCTTTTGGAAACCCTATTTCAAATGAAAAAGACTATTCACACAATGGCATTTTTGATGGCACCAGGAACGTTTTAATAGAAATACAAATAAATTATTTAGTTCTCCATCGGAACCATGTGGGGGAATAGAATATAAAGCACAAGGTTGCGTTTGGGGACGGACGGGTTATGTGTGTTCAGAACGGAAAAGAATGAGCTTGGCCTTCCACGGCATAAGCACTACCAGGCACTCAGCCTGAGCTTGTGAGTCATGGCTTTTCCTCAGGACCTGGACCTTCGGGATTTAGTCCTACCTGTCTTACGGAAGAAGTCTAATTCCACCTCAACTATCCACACGAAGATGAAATAGGGGAGGAAAACTTTGACCCTCAGACTTGTCTAGTTGATGTGGATTTTCAGATGTATGCACTTAGCATTTCTCATTTAATAAGTCACTTGTCTACTAAATAAAGTCAGAGCAGTTATCATAAACTGTTTTTAAAACTCAGAACTCAATGAATTCATGTTTTGAATTTGCTAATGAGTAAATGTCTTCACACTATTTCTTTTTTTTTATAAAGATTTTATTTATTTATTTGAGAGAGAGAGACTGAGAGAGAGAGAGCATGAAAGGGGGGAGGGTCGGAGGGAGAAGCAGACCCCCCGCAGAGCAGGGAGCCCGATGCGGGACTCGATCCTGGGACTCCAGGATCATGACCTGAGCTGAAGGCAGTCGCTTAACCAACTGAGCCACCCAGGCACCCCACACTATTTCTTCCATACACATTTTTAGTGGGGACATGCTGATATCTCCTGTGTAAGCTGAAACTGTTACGTGTGGCCAGACATAGAGAACACATGGTTTACTCAGAACCCCACCTGAAATGCCGGGAGTCAAAAGCATTCACTGAGCTCCCATCCACCTCTGGGCAGAGTTCCTTCTCATGAGCATTCTGTGATAGGTATGACATACCCTGACATTTAATTTTACCAATGAGGAGACTAAAAGGGAAAATAACTTGCCCCACGTTTCCCAGCTAGTAAGCAGGAGAAATAGAATTGAAGTTGAGGTCCTGCTCTATGGCTGCTGCCAGACAATAGATGGGCACCCCCAAAGAACTCTGGTAATAGCTTATTTTCATCTATGATCCCGAGGAAAGTGGCTGGGATACCTCGATTATTCCCCAAGGAAATTGGGTATTCTTTTTTTTTTTTTTAAGATTTTATTTATTTATTTGACAGAGAGACAGACAGAAGTGCACAAGCAGAGGGAATGGCAGAGGGAGAGGGAGAAGCAGGCTTCCCACCGAGCAGGGAGCCCGATGAGGGGCTCGATCCCAGGACCCTGGGATCATGACCTGAGCCGAAGGCAGACGCTTAACCATCTGAGCCACCCAGGCACCCAGAAATTGGGTATTCTTAATTAAGAAGGAAGATAGGAGCAAATTTGATGAAATTCTGAAAGTGTAGCTAGGGAAAGAATGTGCACCCCAAAACTCAGAACACTACAAATGGGGAATACCCACAGAAGTTTGAAAAATGTTTTAGATGTATACAAAAGCAATAATGAATACAACTGGTAGTAAACTTAAGGCACTTATTATCCCAAGAGCTAGTCCAGGTTAAAACTATAAATAAATTTAAGAAATATTAGGAAAGGGGCGCCTGGGTGGCTCAGATGGTTGAGCACCTGCCTTCAGCTCAGGTCATGATCTTTGGGTCTTGGGATTGAGCCCTGCTCAATAAGTTAAATGTGTGTCTTCAGCTGAGGTCATGATCCTGGGGTCCTGGGATCGAGCCCCACGTTGGACTCCCTACTGGGGAGCCTATTCTCCCTTTTCCTCTGCCCCTCCCCCCTGTTCTGCTCTTGCTGGCTCTCTCTCTCTCTCTCAAATGAATAAATAAAAAATCTTAAAAAAAATACCCAATTTCTGAGTCTGAGTCTGTCCTCCCTCCCTCGTATGCAAGACTCTTCATTACAGAAGTTAATTCTGAACATTCTGCTGATGAAAGAAAAGGTAAAACCTATCCTATGTGGCTGCCCTCACAGGCCTCCCCTCAGTTGGACACTGGGTCCTCTCCCCTCTGCTCTGTAGGTCTGCCCTTAGGACACCTGTTCCTCTCTCTTTCTACTCAAGAAACTGATAACCAACTAGGCTTCAGGTTCTTTCTTGCCTTTTGGTATTTACAACCGTTAATCGGCCAAATATCCCCTACATTTCTTTCTTTCTTTCTTTTTTAAACATTTTATTCATTTCTTTGTCAGAGAGAGAGAGCACAAGCAGGGGGAGCAGCAGGCTGAGGGAGAAGCAGGCTCCCTGCTGAGCGAAGAGCCTGATGTGGGGCTCGATCCCAGGGCTCCCAAGGCAGACACTTAACTGACTGAGCCACCCAGGTGTCCCTCCCCTACCTTTCTGATGAGTGCTAACAATTCAGTCTCAGAAAGCTCTATTTAAAAATTTTTTATATTAAAAAAATCTTATATCAAAATATTCTTTGGAGCAAAAGCAAGCAAAGGATGTGGGAGGGAGAGAATGACCACTTTATCTAGCACTCGGAAGCTCTGTAGATTGCCAGTGTACCAGGGTGCCAGGAACACCTGCAGAATCTGGGGCTTGACCCCACACCTGGTGAGTGAGGATCTCTGGAGAGGAGTGCAGGAATCTTCTATTTAACTGGTCTCCCTGTGAATGATTCTGATGCAAGTGGTCAGAAACACTGCAACGATGTGATGCAATCAGTCAGACTGTTCTCTTCTGGAAAGATGCAGTGCCCCTGATCTAAAACTAAGGTTTGTTTTTTTCTTTATCACCTCTCACTTGCGATAGAAAATCCTACTTAAAACTATGAGCAGTCTTAGGGGCGCCTGGGTGGCTCAGTCGGTTAAGCGACTGCCTTCGGCTCAGGTCATGATCCTGGAGTCCCGGGATCGAGTCCCGCATGGGGCTCCCTGCTCGGCAGGGAGTCTGCTTCTCCCTCTGACCCTCCTCCCTCTCGTGCTCTCTCTATCTCCTTCTCTCTCTCAAATAAATAAATAAAATCTTAAAAAAAAAAAAATACTATGAGCAGTCTTAGAGGCCCTTCTTCTGAAAAGTCTAAAATAAAAAACAGACAGAAATACTCACCCATCTAATCAAATAAACGCCGCCGGAAAGAATAGTGGCGCTGTTCTGTCTCCTGCCCCATGATTTGGAGAGTGTTTTAGTTCTTCCTAAAGTAGTAGGAAAAGATTGGGTGATTAGACATCGGTGGGCTCCTCCTCTGTGGGCCCTCTGGAAAACAAATATAAAACCTTTGGTTTGGGGCCCAACTGAGAAATGTTTAAACGTCCACATGCACCATCAGATAATCCCCAGAATGCCTTTGCCCTGGCCTAACTCAATTCAGATAACTGTGTTTGTGAGAAACCCTCAGAGAAAACATTCAGGCCAAATGATCTCATGCCTGGATTTTGCAAAACAATATGTGCACAAGACCAGAATTGGTATCATCCTCAAGTAGGTGCCATTCCCAAATCCAGCGCCGGGGTTTCTGCAACAAGGCGGCTTCTTGGCCGCGTCTGAGTCACTTCCGAGACCCGCAGACCCCTAGCCACCACCACAGGGGCCACATAAGGAAGCCGTTCTCTACTGTTTCTAGGAATGGTGTCTTTTAAAAGGCTTTTACACTTATTTCACCCATTTTGCTATCCCAGATTTTTTTTTTTTTTAAAGATTTTATTTATTTATTTGACAGAGAAAGACACAGCGAGAGAGGGAACACAAGCAGGGGGAGGGTCAGAGGGAGAAGCAGGCTCCCCGCGGAGCAGGGAGCCCGATGCGGGGCTCAATCCCGGGACTCCAGGATCATGACCTGAGCAGAAGGCAGTCGCTTAACCAACTGAGCCACCCAGGCGCCCGCTATCCCAGATGTTTTTAAAAAACGAGGGTCCGCTTGACCCGAAGTGATGTTTTCTTCTTCCTCAAAATAATTTAGATTTTTCTGTTGTGTCCAATCGAGAGAAGAATCGAAGGTGCACCGTGGTGCTCATGCCTGATGCTCCCTGGGGAGGCTAGACTCGTCTCCTGGAACAAAACGCTGCAGATCCGTCTGCTGCCCTGCCGCAGTAGCTCCCTCTGGGCCCCTGTTTGTGGGGGGGACATACGGAGGACTTGGCTTCTACCTCTTCTTTTCCAGGGAGACTGAAGATGCAGGAAAGGTTGTTCTGGATTGAACCTCTGACCGCAAACAACTCATTGTAACGCTTTTTGGTGTTTGAATTTATTAGACTACATTTTGTGGTGACAAAGCGCTAACATTATTTTCCTGGTTGTCACTTCCAGAAGGGCCAGCCTCCACATGGTATCTGCCATCTCTACGTGTATTTTCATTTTCGTATTAAGGAGGCGAGCTAGGGAGGGCTCCTCTGTGTCTGTCTGGGGGAAAGAGGCTGCAGTGTTCAGACAGGCGGACTCAGAAAAGTATCCTGGAGGCTGGTTTGGCTTCCCGGAGGGGGGCACACTCAGTCTAGGGACTAGAGGATAACACCTCTGAGCCCGAACTTCCCCACACGTTGCCTGTTTCAAGTACCTCCCTTGGCGTTGTTATAGGGTCTGAAATCCCACCAGAAGTGTATTCGAGTTGACAGATTTCCTCTTTAAGAGGTCAAATAAGAATGGGTTGGGGCCTAGAATGCTCTTCCTGTGGCTCTTGTTACCTTACTCACCTGGTTCTTAAAAAAAAAAATTCAGATAACACCCCTTCCGGAAAGCTTTTCCATTCTTGGATCATCGACCCTTCTCTGTGCCCTTACAGGCTAGGGCTGTGGTGTCGAATCTTGCTGGTGGTCAGTGTTCTCTGCGGGCCTCCCTGAAGGTAGGAGCTGTGTGGTGTGCATCGTTTTGTCTCCACCGGGCCCAACACACAGTCGTTACTCTATAAATAGTCACTGAATGAGCCCCAGGATCTTCACCTGTAAAATGGGGATGTCACTGGTAGTGATGCCTTTCTTGGGGTGAGCATGAGATGAGATCATTTAAACCACAATGTTACTAAGCTGTAAAGCACTCTGCAAATGGAAGTCATTATAATAACTTGCCAGGAGGTGGGAGGCAAGTCTCAAAGAGGTACATAGAAACCTCACCACTTTGATTATCTTCCTCAGGCCCGTTCTAAGTTACTGCACCTAGAAGATGGTATGCACAGGACTTGGCTGTCTTTATACCAAGATCCTTTGCCCTGTATAAATTTGAAAGGACTTAATCCCAAAGATGTTCCCAGAATTCATCTTTTTATAGAATAACCAGAGGCTAGAGAATCAGAAGTTGCTTCTCACAGAATCTGTTTGATAACTTGTTTGGTGGATAATTGCATTAATTATTAAAGTGAAGAGCCTGAGGGTGAAAGAAGCAAGAATTTACTCATTCCTCATGTGGACCATGATAGAGTGGGAGCCTGGAGAGAAATGTAGAAGAGATGCCATTCACATCCCCTCCTTAGGGAACTTGCCTCCCCTCCCCTCTCTGTCCACAGCTCTTTGGACAAGGGATGGAGAGTATGGTTGCAGCCCTCACATCTCAGAGCAGTAAAGTCATGACAGGGCTCTGCCATTTGGATCATCAGGAGTTTGAGCAGAGACACTGGTTAAGAGTCTACCTTGCAAACACGATCAAGGAGGCTACGTTGGGCCAGGCCTGAAGCCCCGGGTGTACACCCAGGCAAAAAGAGCCGGACGAGGCGCCTTGGACCCAACACTCCATTTCACCAGGCCCTGACTCTGTGCCGTGGTCAGATTTCAGAAAGGGTATTTCATTTAAAAGGTGGCTAAAATGTCATGGGAATGAAGAGGATTAGCAAGTCACATGCCTGTAAACAAGACAGAAGAAAAAAATAACAGAAAAAGTAATGGCATTCATTTATGATAAATGCTGGGGCATGCAGCAAGGAACCAATGAAGATTTTTGTGGGAATTCTGGAGGGACTTTCTGGGCTGGTTCAAGGTCTTTACAGACTGATGATGCTGGTGTCTTATGTTTAGTAAGTCTGTGTGAAAAATAAATTGCCTGAGGTAAAAGTCAATGTCCTATGAATGGTGGGAAATGGAGGTAAAAAAGGACTTATGGGCAAGATTCAAATTGAGGAGATAAAGGAAGTAGTGAGGAAGGAACAGAGGTAAAGTTATGATCCAAGCTTGTCGCCTGAGTTTGGCTGCTATCTGGGTTGGTGAAAAAAAGGATTTGGATGGGGGTGAGGGTGACAGAGTTGGCTATGACCATGTTACCCACGTACAGCTTTGTGAGGCAAGTGCAGAATTGGGCTGTGCCTATCTGGAAGCTATTTCTCCTTGCGAGAGGAGGGATTCATAGGAAATCTGGCTTGTCGTCACAATATTGATGTAAAACCCCATGCTGTACTCCCAGACTTGGACAGTATATATCTTCAAATTTCAAGGTTTCCCAGAGACCTCCACTATGTGGTTATGTTTTTACTATTTTTGCAGGTAGAGCTTCAGAGGTCCTCCTCTTATACCCATAAGGTCCTAGAACCCTGAGTTGTACTCGTGCGTTCTTTTCCTTTGCTTGTCCTTAATCTTTTTTCCAAGTATTATATCATTTTTCACCTTTGCTTTTCTTTCTACCAACTTCTTCCTTGCTTTTTAGAAAATTTCCTTTTCAATTTTTTCCATTTTTTAAAAATAGCTAGTCCTCTGGGGCGCCTGGGTGGCTCAGTTGGTTAAGCGACTGCCTTCGGCTCAGGTCATGGTCCTGGAGTCCCGGGATCGAGTCCCGCATCGGGCTCCCTGCTCAGTGGGGAGTCTGCTTCTCCCTCTGACCCGCTTCCCTCTCGTGCTCTCTGTCTCTCATTCTCTCTCTCAAATAAATAAATAAAATCTTAAAAAAAAAAAAAAATAGCTGGTCCTCTGAAACCTGCCACCAGGGAGAAAAAAAGTAATGTTCTCCTTTTCCAAGTATTTACATTGCTTTTTAGCACAATCATCACACCATTGTGGTATTTCAGGCCCTCCACACCTTGGAGCAATAATGTGAAAAATTTAAAAGAACTGTAACCTTGGGGCTATTTGCAAAGTGCTCATTCTGTAAATACAAAGTTTAGTGGGTTTGAATGTCAGCTTATCTCACATTCCCAGTTGTTGTTCATTTAAATGATAAATATACTCAGTTTATTACTCTAATCTTGTACAGGCTGAACTTTGGATCTGCCTAGACATTTCTGGTCCTTTTCCAAGTCTACACAATTTCCAGTGATTGCCGCCTCACAGCTCTTCACTATGATCCAAGGTTCTTTACTGGCCAAACTGTATATTATGTGGGGAGATTGGTGGTTTTCTTTCTGGCTACTTCTTTACTTTCATAAATAAAAAATAAGCTATGCAATACTCTTTGGCAGTAGGTAATCAAATCTATCCATCCTTTCTTTAATCAAAAGCTCAGTGAGGGCCTTTCATGGGCTAGGCACTGTGCTTGATCCTGGGGGTGCATTGATGACAATCATAGAAACAATGAAAACAATGCACCTGCTCTCATGGTGCTCATAGTCTAGCACATATATCATAGAGAGAGGTAACTGTAGGGCTAAGGTGCAGCCCCTAGGGGCCCAGTTTAACACTAATCTCAAGAAAAGACTGCATCAGGGGAGCCTGGGTGGCTCAGTCAGTTAAGCATCTGCCTTCAGCTCACATCATGATCCCGGGTCCTGGGATTGAGCTGCCCATCGGGCTCCCTGCTCAGTCGGGACTCTCTTCTCCCTTTCCCTCTGTCCACCCCCCAACTAATGCTCTCTCACCCCCAAATTAAAAAAATAAAAGGACTGCATTATTCAGAGACTTACAGAGAAAATATTTTATTACATCCTTCTGAGTGTCACTCTTGACATCACTGTTAAAGTTAAGACTATTCTTTTTCTCATTCTCAGCACAAAGCAGACATTCCCCCCACCACCCGCCGCCAGCATTTTCCTAATGAGAATTCTCCATATATTTCAGTAGCGTAGCTATCAAGCTGCCCTTTCCTATTGTTCTATTTCACCATTTACTATGAAAGGTCTTATTTGTCGGGAGTTCTTACAGAGCTTGTGGATGTAGCCAAGCATCTAACTTGTCCCTAGGAGGGCTTCTTGGCTGGAGAGAGAATAGAGCACTAGGATTCATCCTGAATAATAGTGGCCAGGACTTGGAAAAGAGACTTTTAATTTTTAGAGGGAAAAAGACTATGTTCTGTAAGTGTAAAACATGTATTTTCTTTTGGATAATATATTTGCTCATTTGGGCCACTAGGTTAAAGGAGGGCAGGAGGCTTATGTATATATTTTTCACCGGCAATTTTTCATACAGCCCAAAATCATGCCAGGTTTTGTGCAGCATTTG